TAATGATGGTAGTAATAATAATAATAATAATTATAATAATAATAATAATAATAATAATAATAATAATAATAATAATAATAATGATGATGATGATGATGATGATAATAATAATAATAATAATAATAATAATAATAATAATGATAATAATAATAATAATAATAATAATAATAATAATAAATTAATAATAATAATAAAAATAATGATGATGATAATAATAATAATAATAATGATGATAATAATAAAAATAATGACGATGATGATGATGATGATAATAATAATAATAATAATAATAATAATAATAATAATAATAATGATAATGATAGTTATGATTATTATGACAATGATGATAGTAATGATAAATATGATAACAGTAATAGTAAAATAATAGTAATAACAAGAACAACAACGGCGCAATAATACTTTTGATTATGATAATGATAATAATAATATTGATAATAACAATAGTAATAATATTTTTATTTCTATTATTATTATTATCATCATCATATCATCTTCATTATCGTTGTCATTATTATCATTATTATTATTATTACTTTTATAATGATAAGATCTTATTATCATGATGATTACTGTTATTAAAACAATAATGATAATAATAATGATAATAACAATAACAATAACAATAATAATGATAATAGTGATAATAAAAATGATTATATAATTCCAAAAATAATAATGATAATGATGATAACACAAACAATGAATAAGATTAATAAAATGATAATAATAATAGCAATAATGATAACAATAATAACAATAATAACAATAATAATAATAATAATAATAATAATAATAATAATAATAATAATAATAATAATAATTAAAATAAAAATAACAATAATGATGATAATAATAACAATAACAATAATGATGATAATAATAATGACAATAAAAATATTAATAATGATAAAAGTAATAACAATAATAATAATAATAATAATAATAGCTATAATAACAACAACAACAAGAAAATGATAATGATAATAATAATTATAAAATTACAACAACAACAATAACAATGATACTACTACTAATGATAATAATAACAACAATAACAACATTAATAAAAACAATAATCGCAATTACAAAATATAATAGTGACAATAACAACAACAACAACGAAAAGAAGAACAAATAAAACAAAATAAGAACCAATGATGAATATTAAGAAAAAAAAATACAGAATGAAATAAATATAAGTCGTTTCTCAGTCACTTTAATTTCGTTTTAATGTTTCAATTAAACAAATCTCTGAAAAAAATAGAAAATACGAGAAAATTAACAAGAAAAGAAATAATAATGAAAAAAAAACGAAATATAGATAAAAGAAAAAAGCATGATGATAGTGATAACGTAACACAAATAAATATATAACAATATAATAAAGAGAATGATAATAACACAATAAAACAAAATAAAACAAGAAATGTGAAAACAAACGAGAAAACCCATAACGAAACGAAACAAAAATACGTAAAAAAAATAATAATAATCCTAAAAAAAAACAAAAAAATAAAATAAAAACACCAATTACAAAAAATAAAAAATAAAAAGAACACCTAAAGCCAATAACAACAACAACAAAAAACCCGTAACGCCAATAAAAGCAAAAACAGACCACAGGAAACAGAGCATATCTATCTTAGTGATTCTTAAAGCAAATTCAACCCAAGGAAACTTAAAGATGCTTGGCCCGAACGCGGCTTTAACTCTCAGATATAAAAAGCTTCTCGAAAGATTAAAAGTCAAGCTCGAGGAAGAAGACGGAGGAGGAGGAGGAGGAGGAGGAGGAGGAGGAGGAGGAGGAGGAGGAGGAGGAGGAGGAGGAGGAGGAGGAGGAGGAGGAGGAGGAGGAGGAGGAGGAGGAGGAGGAGGAGGAAGGAGGAGGGAGGAAGGATGAAGGAGGAGGAGGAGGAGGAGGAGGAGGAGGAGGAGGAGGAGGAGGAGGAGGAGGAGGAGGAGGAGGAGGAGGAGGGAGGAGGCGGAGGTGGAATGAGGAGGAGGAAGGAGGAGGGGAGGAGGAGGAGGGAGGAGGAGGTGGAAGAAGAGAAGGATGGAGTGGAAGGAGAGGAGGAGGAGGGGGGAAGAAGGAGGAGGAGGAGGTGAGGTGGTGTGGAGCGAAGGAGAAAGGAGGAAGGAGGAGGAGGAGGTGGAAGGAGGAGGAAGAGGTGGAAGGAGGAGGAGGAGGAGGTGGAAGGAGGAGGAGGAGAAAGAGGAGGAGGAGGAAGAAGAGGAGGAAAAGAAAGAGAAAGAGGAAGAGGAAAAGAAGGAGGAGGAGGAGGTGGAGGTGGGGGAAGAAAAGGAAGAGAAAGAGGAGGAAGAGAGAATGATGGAAGAAGCAGAAGAGGATAAGAACAAAAACAAAAACGAGGGAAAAAAAAGAGAAGGAGGAAAGAGAAAAAGAGGAATAAGAGAGAAGGAAAATGAAGGAACCGAAGATATCAGAAAATCCCGTCTCTTTGCTCTTCATCATCACCTTTATTTCATTCTTTATTCGTTGTTAGAAACAGGAAACAAAAACAAACCTTGAATAACTGAAACTTCGCAAAGGAAATATAGTGAATGAATACGAAGAAAAAGAGAGAGAGAGAGAGAGAGAGGAGAAGAGGAGAGAGAGAGGATAGTGAGAGAGAGAGAGAGAGAGAGAGAGAGAGAGAGAGAGAGAGAGAAGAGAAAGAGAGAGAGAGAGAGAGAAAGAGAGAGAGAAAGAAAAAGAGAAAGAGAAAGAGAAAGAGAAAGAGAAAGAGAAAAGGAAAGAGAGAGAGAGAGAGAGAAACAAAATGAAAATGAAAGAGAGAAAAAACAAGACATTGAATAAAAAAATTAAAAGCAAAGAAGATAAACAAATATAGGACAAGTAAAAACCAGAAAGCAAAGAAAAGAATGAAGAGAAAGAAAAGAGACAGAGAGAAGAGAGAGAGAAAAAGGAATAATAGAAGCAGAAAAAGACACATAAAAACAAATGAAAACGAAATAGAACAAAAAATGAAAGACAAGAAGAAAATATAACAATGAAATCAAACAGAAGACGAATAGCATCCAAAGGAAACAAAGAGAGAAAGTGAAAGAGAAAAGAGGAAACACTCGAGAACAGGAAGAGAGAAGAATGAGGAAACTAGACAGAGAAGACGAAAAAACAACAAAAGAGAGAAGAGAGCAAGGGAAGAAAACATAGAGAGAAAATAAGAAAGAGAGAAAAACACACATAAGAAAGGAGACAAAGAGAGAATAAGCAAGAAAAAAACCCCAGAAAAATGATAAACAGAGAAAGAGAGAAAGAAAGAAAGAGAGAAAAACACACATAAGAAAGGAGAGGAAGAGACAAAGAGGGACAAAGACAAAAAGAGACATAAAGAGAAAAAGCTAATAAGAACAAACAAAAAAGTGATAAATAGAGAAAGACAGAAAGAAAGAAAGAAAGAAAAACACACATAGGAAAGGAGAGAAAGAGACAAATAGTGACATAGAGAGACATAAACAAATAAGAACAAACAGAAAAGTGATAAACAGAGAGAGAAAGAAAGAAAGAAAGAGAAAGAGAGGAAAACACACATAAGAAAGGAGAGAAAGAGACAAAGAGAGACCTAAGCCAATAAGAACAAACAGAAAAGTGATAAATAGAGAGAGATTGAACGAAAGAGAAAGAAAGAGAGAATGAGAAAAACACACACAAGAAACTAGTACTTTGAGAGGAACTACCTGTTGGAGAAACAAACGAGCTTATAATAGGTCGGTTCGTCACTGGTGGTCGAGGGGGGGGCGGGGTGGTAGTAGAAGAAGGGGGGTGAGGGGGGGGGGGCGGGGGCGGAACGGTTTTGCACTTTGCTGTTCTTCCTTCTGTTAAGACTTGGCTCTGTGTGCTCTTGGGGTCCCTGTGCCATCTTTTCACGTCGTGTCAAAAGGGGGGAAGGGGGGGGGGAGTGGGGATATGAGGGCCCGTGTTGTGTTGAGGGCGTTGCAAAGTGCAGTCTCTTGCATGATTCTTTCCGGACCTTGTGCATGGGTGGGTGTTTAGGAAGGGTAGGGAGGGAAGGGAAGGGAAGGGAAGGGAAGGAAGAGAGGAGGACGATTGGATGAGAGAGAGAGAGAGAGAGAAAGAGAGAGAGAGAGAGAGAGAGAGAGAGAAAGAGAGACGGACAGGTAGATGGACAGGTAGACAGACCGACAGACAGATAAACGATGGGAGGGGGACACCCAGACATCGAAAGAGAGAGATACCAGACAGATTTACACCTCGGTTAAAACGTCCCGTGGAAAAAAAATTGTCCTAGAAGGTACTGTAGTTCAAAATAGGTTGTTGCCATATTTTTTTCCCAGCCGAGTCGCGCGTGTGTGTGGAAGTTAGGATTTTGGAAAACGGGAATAAGGGGTGGGGGGGGGGCGGAGAGTGCGTGGAGTGGAGGACGTTGTTGTTGTTGTGGTTGTTTGTTGCTGTTATCAGTGGGCGTGTTCGGGGCACGATAACGAGAGGGGCGTGGTCGGCGGCGAGGTTGAGGCAAGTGGCACTGAGGTCGGAGGGACAGGGCACTGGCGGAGCGGCGTCGCGCCAGGGCAGCTCGGCTCCGGCAGCATCTCGGTCTCCCAGTGGGCGGCGGCGTCGCGGGATGCTCGCCTCCCTCTCGCCTCCTCCTCCTCCTTGCAACATTGCTTGTCCTTGCGTGGCGGCCGCGATACGCTGTGATACGTACGTGCACGCTCCTACACCGCCGCGGCCATCGCGAAGTCATAATAATACACAGGTTATCTAACGAAAATATCCCTAATAATTCGGCCACAAAAAGTCTCCATCTATATTTGGGTTCGTCGCGAGCAACTCACATGTGAACCGGAATGCAGGAGGAGGCGCCTATTGGCCGGGGGCGGGCGTAGGGCGGAGCGCGATTGGCTGAGGGGCGGGACGTAGGCGTGACGCGCTGCGTGGCTCCGCCCCCCAGGCGAGTGCGCAGCGCCCCGGGGCGGTGCTCGTGACAGCTCATTCATTTGTGGCGGCGGCCGGTGTGATTGACAGCAGTTGGGGTCCAGTGACAGGCGGACACGCACGCTGCTCCGCTCTCAGTCGCCTCATGTCGATTGACGTGCTGACGCGCGGTGCAGGTACGGCGCGGTACTAGACGGTGCAGTGCGGTGCGCGGGTGGGCGTGTAGTGACTCTTGCGGCGCGACATTGTAGTGGTGTAACGAGTGAAGCAAGCACAGTACTCTTGGGTGACATGGCTCAGCCTGCCAGGGTAAGTTGTGCCCCGCCACGCCACGCTACTCAGCCTGACCACTAGTCGGTCTGTGGGCGGGAGTGGGCGGCGGCGGCCAGTGTGTGCGTCAGGCAGTGTCCAGACGGTCAGGCAGGCGGCCTCCCCGCCCTCAGTTCTATCATCATCCCAGTGTTCTTATTGTGATACAAAAGTGTTCAGCAAAAGAGTTGAGTGTTTGTGGAGTGTTGTAGTTGTGGAGTAGTGTTGGCGCTAACGAGGTTCTCCCGCAGTACGACGACGGGCTCGGGCACTACGCCGGGAGCGGGGCGAATATGGAGGCCGTAGCCAACATGTACGGGGACCCGCACCGCAGCGCGGCGGCGGCGGCCCTACAACCTGCGGCCCTCATGAACCACATGAACCACGTGGGAAGTGCGGCCCACGGCGCGGCCATGTACGCCCACTCTCAGGCCTCCAACCACGTGGCGGCCAACCACGTCATGGGCTCCGTGCCCGACGTTCACAAACGAGACAAAGACCTTATATATGGGTGAGTTTCGAAGCTTCTGTTCCAGTCGTAGTGTAGTAGTTGAGCGTTTCCCTTCCTTGCATCGCTGTCGCTCGCCCTCGGGCCTTCTCCTTCACTCTGGTCCTTCCTCAACTCCCCCTCCACACGCCCGTCACGATGACAACCCATCTGGGGCTCCCGCGGGCGTGTGGGCGTGATAAGTGCGGCGAGCAGGTAACTCCGAGCGGTGTCGACTGCGGGCTAGCGCTGCTCTCCGCTGCCGCACCGACACCACTCGGGTTTTGCCGCCCGACCGCAAGCCCGCCCCTGCGCGCCCTTCTGCCTTCTCCCTCTCTTATTTCGCGTCCCGACGGCGCCCTCCTCCTGCTGGCGGCGGGGGGAGGACGCCGAAGGGGCCAGGATCGGCGGAGGCACGTCGGTGCGAGAGAAGAAAGTCTTGCTCTCGCTCTGAATAAAGCTAGGAAAATATTGTAGGATCAGCTGTTTAATGCGCCTGTCAGCTCGGGGAAGCTAGGAAAAAAAATTCCCTGTTGTAAATAAAATCGTCAGTGAATATACACGGAATGGGTTTATCATCCTTGGCTTATTTGTTTACATCTATGCCGCAAAAACAACAATAAAAATGTCATAAAAAGGAGACTTAACGAGGTGTTCGGGAGTAGGGCATCGCCTGCGTCAGGAGGCGCACAGGGCGGTCGCCGAGAGACACCGCGCTTTTGGCAGGAGATAAGGGGCGTAGGAGAGATGCCCGAACTGTAGCAGCAGTAGAAAGAACGGCGGTGGTCGTTACAGGAAGGCTATTGGCCGTGAATTAACGCTGTGTAAATACGGAGGATCGCGCGGTAACCGGGACCCAGTCGCGGCTGTGCAGGCAAATAGAAAAGCGAGCTAATTTAGACCAAAAAACATTTGCATGAAACCGGGACCGATCGCCGCGGAAAAGCAAAGAGGGGATAAATCAGCATGTATGCAAAATAAGGGAAGTGGAATGGGAATATAAATTAGGCCGTAGAGTCCCCCCCCCCCCTAGCTTGATATTTTATTTACACGCTACAAAGGGAGAGAGATAAGGAGAGAGAAAGAGAGAGAGAGAGACAAAAGTCCTGGCGAAGAGAACGGACAAGATTTAGGCAAGAAGTTTCGATGTCATTTTTTGGGATACTTGCATTATTTTTAAAAATTAATTTTTAGGGTTCGTGTCAATGGTCTGAATTTTCTCCCCCCCTAAATGTTGATATATATGTACATGTGACAAATGTAACGGGGGGAATATTTATTTCTTAAAGATCATTAAAATGGTGAAGACTCAATTTCAATGTATACAGAATGTTGTTATTTGTACCCGCAGTAAAATTGGAGATTACGTTTTAAAGAAGATGCCCTGAGTTGCGACAGTACGAAATTAACATAATCCGCTTCGTAGGAGAGAGTGATAAATTTAACGCTCGTGTTTTAGCATCGTTTTGATTTTTTTTTCTTTCTCTCTCTCTCTCTCTCTTTATCTCTCCCCCTCCCTCTTTCTAGTATTTATTTGAATAAGTGGATGACGAGTATATCATGTTTGGCGTCGGTGTCTCCTCCTCGCCGTGACGGGAACCAGTCTGGAGGCCTTAATGCTGCGAGTCCCAGGCTGAAAGTAGCAAGCGTCGAGACTTTATTAACAAATTTTAACACCTTCAGCCCTTGGGAGAATTCAGACAGCGGGCGCCGCGCGATAAATTCAACGTGGCAGGTTTTAACATAATTCTGATTGCGCTAACTC